TCTACCTGTCCCTCCTCCTGCCTTCCATCTCTGTGACTTTTACTGCCTTCCACTGGAAGAAATGTGGGCCCCATCTTTGACCCCTCCCTTCTTATTGGTTCCCACAAACCAGCCCTTACGTTTACCTCCAAATGTCTGCTGAGTCTGTCTTCTCTCCTTCCCCACTACCTCCATCCTGGCTCTAGTCCTCCTCGCTGACCTGCGTTCCTGAAGAATCCTCCCTGGCTCCCTGGATTCAATCTTACCTTTGACCCTTGCCCTCTTGACACTGCAGCCAGAATGATCCTTCTACAATGTAAACCTGACCATATCAGTTCTCTTCTTATGGCCCTTTAATGGCTTCTTATGGCCCTTAGGATGAAATCCCCATTCCTTAAATAGGTTAAGAAAGGCTCTTGGTGGTCTGGCCTGTACCTGGCTCCTCCGTGGCTTCCTGCCTGCAGCTGTCCCGAACTGCTTTCAGTTTCCTACCTTGGTCGTGATCTAGCGCTTGCAGGCTTTTCACATTCTCTTTCCTCTGCCTGCATTCTCCTCCCTATTTTCTCCTGGCTACTTTTTATTTATCTCCCAGATCTCAACTTCACTGTCCCTGTAAAAAGTCTTCTCTAATTCCTTCAAGGCTAGGTTAGATACCCCTATTATAGGCCTCTTTCATGGTGCACATAAAAGTCACATCATTTGATGATTGCCAGTCGAATTGTCTTTCTTCCCTTCTAAAGTGTAAACTTCATGAGGATGGGGAATGTTGGGCTTATTCACTGGTATATCCCAGACATCTAGCACAGTGCCTGGCATGTTATCTATCAAGAAACATGTCTTTTACTATATCACTGATATTTACCAAGAGCTATTCTTTGCCAGTGGATCCTACGCTTCTTCAGGTCAGGACCAAATCTTGTTCATGGTGCTGTACCTGGCACCTTGTGTTAAATAAGTTTGTTTCACCAATCACTTTTGGGAGCTTTATTCCACCTGAACTTATTAAAAAAAATTATATGGTTGTAAATCTTAAGAGTTATATTAGACAAAACTAGGAAGTAATGTGATAAATTTAATAAATGTGCTATAATGTATACATCCAAAGGAGTATTGCCCATTCAGTATTGTCTGAAATTAAGAAGAGAGAGCCTTAAGGCACTTACTGTAGGGTTAGGTTGGCGTGGGTTTGAAACCCAGCTCTCCCGCTTCTCTGAGCCTGGACTTCCTCATCAGTAAGATGAGACTATAATGCCTGCCTTGGCAAGGTTGTTGCAGAGATTAAAGGTTTATGAAAAGAACTGCCATAGTGTCTGGCACACAGTAGTAGTTCTGTGAATTTTAAGTTATTTTCTATTCCACCAATGCAGCCGTTACAGAAAATGTTTTTGAAATTTCTTTTTTGAAATAGTTTTTAGAGCTTTCTATAGACCATCATAATATGTCAATAGGAGAAATATTTTTTCCTTTGAGGATACGTTTGATTTTTAGATACAGTTTGGTTCAGAGAGCGTGATCAACATAGTTAATACCACTTTTGGTATTTAAAAAGTGTGATTATAATGAGGATTTCTTTTGTAGTGTCTAAAGTGGTACATATTCTGGCTTTCTCACAGGTGGCATTGGCAGCACGCACGTTCCATTAGACACGGTAAAATCCAGGGAATTAACGATCAAAAAATCTATTGATATTGAATAGCAGGCTGATCAGGCAGTATTAGTAAGCTCGAGAGAGCTGAGATCTTGAATAATATACTTCATCACAAGTTTAACCATCAAAATTTTACTCCTAGCAAAAAAGAATTGAGGAAAAAAATGATCCAAGGTGCTACCCATATTCTTGTATATGTTTGGGGGTCTTGTGTTTTCAGCTGGGTCCACAGGCATCAGTGTGGCTGATTCAGTAAGGAAGATGGTATCTACTAGTGACCCAGAGGAGCCTGGCGCCCTCGGAGGCCTGTCCCTAGTAGGAAGAGGAGGAGCTGGCTGGGGGAAATGGACAGGGGTGTAGAGATAGGCACTCAGCTTTTATAGCAGCATATACTTGTACAGAATAATCCACAGGATGTCTTTGTAGGAAAAGAGAGTGGAGGCACAGGTCATTCTGTCTACTAGGAAAAGCACTTTGAGGCAGGTGGTTGCAGGAAGACAGTCCTGTGAGGCTGGAAGTGGTGCCCCAGGCAGTATGGAAGCTAGACTGAGGGTTAGCGGAGCCCGGGGGAATCTGGTGACAATGCTCAGCTGACTACAAGGAACCCGGTTTTATTTTATAATCTGGCAGTCACTGAGGGCTCAGTATCTCACCTCGTCATTGTGCAGAAGGGCATGAGTGTGAGGGATCAAGTCAACTATAAAGGGTGACTGACATGTTAATTATTTTTAAATATTTTACTAGTTTGTACCCTGAATTTACCTCATCTTACATGTGTGTATATTTTGTTGATGTTAGAATAATTCACCGGGAGTAGTTGATGGAGGGGCATGCGAAGAGAAGAGCAGAACGTGAATATCTGTGACTCTTGGGTGGGGGAGGGGAGGGGAGCTTGTAGGACTCCCTTTGCCACAGGGTAGTAGGGAGCAGTGTCACTCAAGCAGGGGACTGAACCTGGCTGTAAAGGCGCCTTGTGGGGTAGACCTCACAAGGGATCGGTCCCCCTCAAGTCTTCGTTGTAAAACCGTAAGTGCTTCTGAGGTACTGGTGTCATTATAATTGTAATGGGACATTGTCATTGCCCTTAGGTTTCAGGTGGGCAGCAGAGATACTTCCCCTTAGGGAAGAGGTACTTCCACCTTCTCATAGAAGCTGACTGCTCTGTGAAATCTAGGGGTCCTCCTCCAGCCTGGCTATGGAAGAAAAATCCATAGCCTTGGACTGCAACCATGGCAGAAAGCAAAAGATTGTTTAATTTTTTTAGTTCAAACTTAAATGTCAAAATTAGATTTGAATTACTATAAAAATGCAAAATTCAAGGTCTTTGATGTTATGAAAAAGGTCTAGACAGAAAATTTAAGTGAAATAACACTTTCCTCCTTTTAATTCTTTCCTATAAATTGTTTATTGGTCATGTTTTCTGGGTATTAGTTTTCTTAACTGTTGTTAACCAGGCTGAAGGTATTATCTTAGCAGTGCCAGCAACATGCATTAGAATTGACTCTTACAAGGAGAAGATTCTGGAACCCAGTAGGCAGTCAGCCATTTAAAGTGCTCTTAAGGTATAAGTGGCACAAACATTTTAGAAAGCTTTATGCTGAATAGATGAACATGTTCTGATAGAATGTTTTCATTTTTGCAAGGCAAAATTTTGCCTCATGCCCAAATTTTCTGTTTATGATATAATTGAGTATCTGACTGTGATATAAAAAATAAGAGATTTAGATCAGCGGTCCCCAACCTTTTTGGCACCAGGGACCAGTTTCGTGGAAGACAGTTTTTCCAGGGACCGGGTGTGTGTAGGGGATGGTTTTGGGGGCGATTCAAGCGCATTACATTTACTGTGCACTTTATTTATTATTACATTGTAATATATAATGAAATAATTATACAACTCACCATAATGCAGAATCAGTGGGAGCCCTGAGCTTGTTTTCCTGCAACTAGATGGTCCCATCTGGGGGTGATGGGAGACAGTGACCCCCGACGTGTGTTGCTTATGTCCAGTTTGCTCCGTAAGATGCAGCTTAATTGTCACTTGCCACTCACTGATAGGGTTTTGATATGAGTCTGCAAGCAGTTGACTTATTATGGTCTCTGTGCAGTCAAACGTCTCTGCTAATGATAATCTGTATTTGCAGCCGCTCCCCAGCGCTAGCATCACCGCCTCAGCTCCACCTCAGATCATCAGGCATTAGATTCTCATAGGGAGTGAGCAACCTAGATCCCTCACACGTGCAGTTCACAGTAGGGTTCGAGCTCCTGTGAGAATCCAAGGCTGCCGCTGATCTGACAGGAGGTGGAGCTCAGGTGGTAATGCGAGCGATGGGGAGCGGCTGTAAATACAGATGAAGCTCTGCTCGCTCACCCACTGCTCACCTCCTGCTGTGTGGCCTGGTTCCTAGCAGGCCCCAGACTGGTACCGGTCTGTGGTCCGGGGGTTGGGGACCCCTGATTTAGATAAAACACTAGCAGAAGCAACTACATATTAAATTTATTTCTGGCAAATGACCTGAATAATTTCTACTGGATAAGAAAAATGCAGGGTATGTGCATTCATTTTCTACTGCTGCCCTAACAAATTACCACAAACTTAGTGATCTAACACAGCACAAATTTATTATGTTATGGTTTTGTGGATTGGAGGTCCAACACAAGTCTCACTGGGCTAAAATGACGGTGTTGGCAAGGACAGCGTTCCTCTGGAGGCTCTGGGGTGAACCCATTTCCTTGCCGTCACAGCTTCTGGAGGGTACCCACACTCCTTGACTTACGGCCGCCTTCCATCTTCAAAGCCAGTGAGGTTGCATCTTTCTGACCATCCTTCCATGGTCATATTTGCTGCTGAAGTCTCTCTGCTTTTAAGGACGCTTGTGGTTTGATTGGGCCCACCTGCATAATCCAGGATTCTCTCCCTATCTCCAGATCCTAACTTAGTCACATCTGCAAAATCCCTTTTGCCACATAAGATAACATTTTCAGGTTCTGGGATGTGGACATCCTTTTTTTTTTTTCTTTGGCCGAGCCACGCAGCTTGCAGGATCTTAGTTCCCCAGCCAGGGATTGAACTCAGGCCCACGGCAGTGTAAGCGCTGAGTCCTAACCACTGGACTGCCAGGGAATTCTCAGATGTGGACATCTTAGAGGGAGGAGGGATTATCATGCCTCCCATCGTACGGAAACCTAACACCGGGTTTCATTCAGAGAAAGTATTTTTCAAATGTGTCCATGATTTGCTACAGGTCTTAAGAAACTTTGACTTGGGTATTTTACAGGGAAGAGTTATACATATTTCTAAAAATGATGATGATTTGCTTGGATCTGAACCTACTTATTAAAGCTAACGTTCATTCTGTTTTGTTTACTTTGATAGTGATAACCTACTAAGGAGAGCAGCCTGTCAAGAAGCTCAGGTAATGCCATTTAATATGAAACAATTAAAACCCGCCTTATCTCCACTGTGCAGAAATCTCAGGCTGTTCCAGGGGGACTTGCACAGTGCCTTGCATCAGCGCAGCTTGGCTATTTTTCCCCCACTATCGGGGTGAATCAGGCTGCCAGCCAACTCTGAATAGAACTGGAGGAGGTTAACAATCTGGTGAGGAGCAGTTCCAACGCCCACCCCTTTAGACTTGTTTACTTCTGGATTAGTCCAGAGAACACAGAACTGGACTGGTTGCACTCTGGGAATTTGTTCATGTCTGCAGGTGTCCTTGAAGATCTGGCTAAAGCCCGAATCATCCCTAATCCTAATAACCCCCAAGGATATCAGTTCAGAACAGGTGTTACCTCTCAAAGTCAAATCTTCTTAAAACTGTTGATTCATATTTTTAAAGCCTGTCTCTTTTAGCACAACTGATTCAGACCCTCTCCCATGATATTGCACTTAAATATTCATCTATCTAGTTGTAGCTGAATTGTTAATCCTTTCAGGTTTAAGGCCACAATTTTGTTCTTCCCTCCCCTCCAAAAGTGTGCGTTATACATTGCAGATTAATTTGCACGACTGAGTTGCCTTTTTGTTACGTCATTCAGGCATACGATGTCAGAAATACCAAAAAAGAAACATGAAACTAAAAAATGACAAAAGACATGATGCATTTAGTAGGAGAGGTGGGTGGCAGACCTCATGTTTGTTTTTGAAATGTTTCCGTGGATGACAATGACAATAGATACTATTAATAAATTCCTCTCTTTAGTGATTCCCTAACTGTTCTAAATCCGTGTTTCAAGAATTCGATTGCTTTGTTGTTTTTATCTCTTATGGCTCTAAGTTGTTTTGGAAATCAATTCAAATAAACTTTAATATTAAATTTGAGGTGATCTTTACCCCAAGCTAATTTTCCACTAGCAACTGGAAAATCCTCTTGGGAGGGGAAGGCTTTCCCCCTTGAAGGAAGAGTGGTCATGGGGTACTCCCTTTCTTGTGCAAAGTAAATACCTCCACCTCTGTTCTGAACTCCATCTCCTCTTACTTTTCCCACTGTTCTAACTCTCCACTTCCCGACACCCATTTAGCTCCTTCCATCTGAAAAAAGGAAGCGAATTCATCCTTATGGCCCCCTCCCTCTAGTTACTTTTCCTGTCTGTGTCCTTCCCTTTTCAGTCTAAATTCTTGAAAGAATATGATTTTTTTTTTTTTGCGGTACGTGGACCTCTCACTGTTGTGGCCTCTCCCATCGCGGAGCGCAGGCTCAGCGGCCATGGCTCATGGGCCCAGCCGCTCCGCGGCATGTGGGATCTTCCCGGACCGGGGCACGAACCCGTGTCCCCTGCATCGGCAGACGGACTCTCAACCACTGCGCCACCAGGGAAGCCCGATCTTTTTTTTTAATCTCACATAAACTCACCTCATTGTAGTCTCATGTAAACCTGAGACATGAGTTGCAGGTAGATAAGATAAGACTTTTAGATAAGGCTAAAAACCCAGGACCAGGAGGAATAATATAGAACTGTAGATCTGGAATCTGGCAGGTTAATTAAATCATTTCTGGCCAAATTCCAGAAATAGTATGGATAGAAAAAGAACAAAGTACAATATTTAGAGATTTGGCAGCAAAATGTTAAGATCTAACTCAATAAGAGTGAAAACAGAGTAGTAATTATAACGTACACAGAAACTTTTTACAAAGAAATAGTATGTCTTTCTGAAGTATTCAGAAATAGAAGTTTATTTTTTTTAAAGCAAGAAATAGACAATGGTGACAAAGGATCTCCAGTGGGCTGTCAGGGAGGCGGTAGAGTTGGGGTCAGTTACTAAATAAAAATCTTGGTGTAACTTCCATTTTTCTCCTATATTTACTTTGTGCTTCTGTACTTAATTCTGCCTCCTTGGCCCAGACCTACTTCCCACAATCTAAGACTCGCAATTTTGCCCTCTTTGGGGTTTTCCTATTCTCATTCCTTTTATTGACCACCTTCTCCTCCCGTTACTTCCCATTTTCACTCCTCGCATCTAGTCCTCTGGGTGTCGTAACTCTGCCTCATCATTTATTAGCTCTTTAGAGCTGATAGAGTAGAAGTTTGGAGTTAGATTCATATAAATTCTAGGCTTGTAATTTATTAACACTTTGACTTTGACTGACTTAATCTTTCTGAATCTTGGCTTTCTCATCTATAAACATGGGAATATTTAATACCTCCTTGGTTTCTAAGAACTAAGAATTAGTATGTGTGGAAGTGGCAAATACTAGGTGCTTAGTAAATATTAATTACATTTCTTTTCCTGTACCAGTTGATGCTACTTATCAAGGTTGCAAAGAAAGGAGGCAAATAGAGTATTAGATTTATTTTTTATGTGTATAAAGATACGAAGATTAACTGGTAACATGAAGATTCTTCATGAATGAGCTTTAGTAATAAGTTAAAAGAGAAAAAGGTTATATTCTGAAAACTGAAGACAAATTAAACTTCCCTTGTGACAGACTACGGACTTACTGGTTGTAATAAACCTAGTCATATCTTACAGAGAAAAGAAAAGTTACTTACCTTTAGTAGGTGAATGAAGCAGGGCGTTTTATTACAATATAAAATTCAGCTTATTTTCATTAAATAAAGGTGCACTTTTATTGTTGTTGTTTATGGTGGGGTTGTCAACATGAAATCCGGAAAGAACATTTGTTTCCCCAGGGTAGACACCGTATCTGCCAGTAGTAAATTCTTTTGGAATGAAAGAATATCTGTGCTCACTAACTGAATAGAAGGACATTTACTGAAAACTTTTCTTTGTTCCTTTTTAGGTGTTTGGCAGTCAACTTATTCCTCCCAATGCACAAGTGAAGAAGGCAACCGTCTTTCTCAATCCTGCCGCTTGCAAAGGGTAGTTCAGTTTGTGACTTGTTATAGATTTGGTTTTTCTAAGGGGAAAAGAGTCACAGAATACTAGGCAGCTGGTTGGATTGTGTGGAATTGGAGCTACTAGGTTCAGTACCCTTGTAGCAATAAGATTCAATTGTAATGTAGAAATCACGGTTAATCAGATATAACTGTAAAGCTAACTGATGCCTAGCTAACTGGTCTAAATGAAGTTTAATAATTATTCCAGAATTAACACTCTCAAATCAGTCTTATCTGCTTGGTGGTAGCCCCCTTGGGAACAACTTCTGCTGCTGTGATGTAAATTATGAGTCCATCTCTGTTACAGGATGTTCAGAGATTGCCGAAAGCACTGTGGCCTTGTGAGGTCAGAAACATTCTTTCCCAAAGTGGTGAATGTAGAGTTAGGTCTTGGAGGTCAGTCAAGGGAGAACACTCAGTGTTCCCGACTGACGAAATGGCCCATGGGGCGGGGGCCTACAGACAGGAGTGCCGACTAATGTCCTTTGCTGTGTCACAGGAAAGTCTGTAAACTGGTCTGGTTGGCCTCGAGGGGTCATGTGAGGCAACTCTGAGAATTAAGATGTGAAGAATAGTTGGGACCTTGGTTGACAGTCATGTGTCCATGTTCATTTATTGTAACAAATGTACCTCACTGGTGCAGGATATTGAAAGTGAGGGAGGTTTTGTGTGTGTGTGTGTGTGTGTGTGTGTGTGTGTGTGCATGTGTGTAGGGGAGCAGGGGGTATGTGAGAACTCTCTGTATTGTCCACTCATTTTTACTGTGAACCTAACAACTGCTCTAAAAAATAGTCTATTAATTTTTAAAAGTACCGTAAGCAAAATAAAAACTTTTTTTTTTTACATTGCTAGTTAGGTACAACTCTCATTCAGTTGGAAAGGTAAATAAGACTTTTGGTGGCTTATAGAAGAAATCATTTAAAATTTAAAATTATTTTTTAAAAATAGTAAGAATTAAAGGGTTGAGGGGGAGAAAAAAGTGATACCTTTTATTCTATCTAACGGCCAGAACAATTCTTTTTGTCCTGACTGAGGAAAAATTAATAAGTATGTATTAGATTGGATTCTCTAAGTTCGAAGTCAAATGACATTAAGATAATAAGAACAACAACAAAAAGCATAGTTGGGAGTAGCTTCTAAGTGGTGAGGTTAACATTGGAGAGAAACGCAGGGGCTCTGAAATAAGTTTCTCTAGTCATTTCTTGGGAGGTAGTGTGTGTGGCTTCACAGATGTGAGGGCTAGTCACGCCTTATTTCTTTTGAATTCAGCAGTTCAAGATATTTACCTACAGGTTGTCTAAATCGGCTCCATTACTCTACCTAATTGAATCATATTCACCCACCTTTGTTGGAACCACTTCCCGCCCCCATAAACGTACCAGTCATAAGGCCTCTTGTTCATTCTTGTTTAAAACCAGCACTGAACAAAAATATCAACAAAGGTTCTAACACAACACAATCAAAATACCCAAGATAACTAGTCACTGGTGGCCTGTGGGAGAAGCTAGCAGGGAACTGGGTGTATCCTCTGTATACTCTTCTCTGCTCTGTGATACGGTCGGTGTTGCTTAACTTCTTAAATCCTCAATTTACTCATCTGTAAAGTGTGAAAAGTAATAGCACATGCCTTACAAAAATTACCATGTAATTCTTTAGGATTAAATGAGGTAATGCCTATAAGGTATTCAGCATTCTTTCCATTTCATAGTTAGCACCTGATAAAAGAAATATAAGCTGCTGTTCTTGGTATTACTGACCTGTAGGCTGGGTCAGAAGGTTCTCTACTTGGCTCTCCCACCCTGGGATCTCTCCTTTTGCCTCCGTTGTTGTAAGTGCTCCAGGTCCTGTTCCTCTAGAGATCTAGTAAGTTAGTAACTTGCTAATTCTCTTGAAATATATGGTAGTTTGTTTAAGCTATAATCAGTCATTTTGAGTTCCTACTTGAGATATTTGCATTTTTAAAAAATGAATAAACTTTTCTTTTAGAGAAGTTTTAGGTTCCGTTTACACTTTTACACGTAAGTGTATTTGCGTTTTTAAAGGTAGGTTCTTGTTGAAAAGTGTAATACCTTTACCTGCAGGCTAGGGTAAGGAAAGTGTTTCTTTTCTAAAGTCATGGTCCCCTTTAACAAGGTGAATCCCTGCAAGGTTCTAGGAAGCAGCCACTTTGAAACTCTCCAGCATCTTTTTTTAAAGCTTTCACTGTTTAACTGTACTATTTTTGTCATCTTGACTCTGACCTGACACCTAATTTATAATTTATCATGTAGCTATTTCATTATGTAGTACTGGTTTAAAACTACATTAGAGCTTTAGGAAATAACTGTTTTGCATTAATAAATGATACATTAAGGAGTAATTGTTGTGTGTGTGCGTGTGAACCTGCAAATTGCTGGGGGCGCAGAAAGTTTTATTTAACTCTGGTGCTATCTCACCCTGAATTATATAATAAATAATACATTTATTACTGGTAACACTTGCTTTTCAATCTTTTATATGGAATATTAGAAGGAAAAAAAATGCCTTCACTTCCACTTTAGAGATTTTCTGTACCTGTGGCATCACAAAGATGTGAATAAAGGCCCAAATGTTCAAATCTTTTTTCTTTCTTTCTTTTTTTTAATTGAAGTATAGTTGATTTACAGTCTTGTGTTAGTTTGAGGTGTACAGCAAAATGATTGTTATATATACATACATATATTTTTTTCAGATCCTTTTCCATTGTAGGTTATTATAAGTTATTGAATATAGTTCCCTATGCTATACAGTAAATTCTTACTGTTTATTTTATATATAGTAGTGTGTATCTGTTAATCCCATACTCCTACTTTATCCCTTCCCCCTTCGGTAGCCATAACTGTTTCTATGTCTGTGAGTCTGTTTCTATTTTTAAATAAATTCATTTGTATTATTTTTTAGATTCCACATATAAGTAATATCATATAATATTTGTCTTTCTCTTTCTGTCTTACTTTACTTAGTATGATAATCTCTAGGTCCATCCATATTGCTGCAAATGACAATATTTCATTCTTTTTATGGCTGAGTAATATTCCTTTATATATAATGTATATAATATATTCTACACACAGAAACACACACACACACACACACACACTTTATCCATTCATCTGTTGATGGACACTTAGGTTGCTTCCATGTCTTGGCTATTGTAAATAGTGCTGCTATGAACACTGGGGTGCATGTATCTTTTCGAATTAGAGTTTTCATATTTTCTGGATATGTGCCCAGGAGTGGGATTGCTGGATCATATGGTACTTCTAGTTTTAGTTTTTTAAGGAGCCTCCATACTGTTCTCCATAGTGGCTGTACCAATTTACATTCCTACCAACAGTGTAGGAGGGTTCCTTTTTCTCCACACCCTCTCTAGCATTTATTCTTTGTAGACTTTTTGAGGATGGCCATTCTGACTGGTGTGAGGTGATACCTCATTTTACTTCTACAAATCTTATTTGTTTTTTTAAAATTAATTAATTAACTTATTATTTATGGCTGAGTTGGGTCTTCGTTGCTGCGTGCGGGATTTCTCTAGTTGCGGCAAGCGGGGGCTACTCTTCATTTCAGTGCATGGGCTTCTCATTGCGGTGGCTTCTTGTGTTGTGGAGCATGGGCTTTAGGCGTGCGGGCTTCCGTAGTTGTGGCTTGCGGGCTCTAGAGCGCAGGCTCAGTAGTTGTGGTGCACGGGCTTAGTTGCTCCACAGCATGTGGGATCTTCCCAGACCAGGGCTCGAACCCGTGTCGCCTACATTGGCAGGCGGATTCTTAACCACTGCACCACCAGGGAAGCCCAAATCTTATTTCTTAAACTAACTCAGAGGAGCTTATAGATGTGTTGTAAGTGATTAATACAGCTGATTGAGACTTCACCAGAGTTTTGCTTCTCAGAGATAGATCTAATCCACTTCCACCTGACCCTTTCTTATCAACCCAGAAATGAAAGCAACCCTGCAAGGAGAAATGTTTACATTCCATCACTAGCTCGCCTTTTATTGTTGGGTTAAGCCCCAGAAATGGTGATCTGGAAAGGAGAAATTTCCATTTAGCCTTTCATGTTCATTCTTACAAGCATTCAGAGCTGTAGAAGAGGGAGGATATGTTTGTTTAATTTGCTTATTACGTGCTCAGGTGTGCCCTTGGTTCAAGGTATTTTTTTGGTTCTTGTAAAAATTTGCTCAAGCTTCTCAGTTTCTATTTTAATTCATAATCAGAAATGTTTTATGTTCTGTGTTCCATTTGATAGCTATTTCTTTTTAGTTTAAAGAATGTTGAAGTTGGTCTGTGCATAACTCTACATGTTCCTCATTCACTACCTTTGTGTCTGTTTCTAGTATAAAATATTCTTAAGAAAGTTGAAGCATGCATCACTGATAAAAAATAATAATCTTTCTGAAAGAGGACTGAGTAAATGTGGATGTAACAGTTAGATGTTTGGTGTTGATTGTTTTGAAAGTACTAGTTTTTGTTTTTGTTTTGTGATGTGATAGTTGAAAATATTTGGGTAAAAGACAAGTCAGCTGATTGGTATGTTTTAACATTTATTCAACTCTGAGACTCTGCAATTGGGGACTTTTTTGCAGCTTCTGTATCCCTTGATTTCTAGTACATTCTCAGTCAACCACTGGAATGTAAATAAGTTCCGTGAGGGCTTATTACATTATACCTCAGTTACATGTATTTTTGTCTGCCTTGTCCTGTTGTTTGCCCAGTTCCTAGATGTGTCTAGCACACAGTAGAGGCTCAGTAAGTGCTTGTTGAGTGAATCAGACATTGTTGCCTGAGTGGAGCCATATCCAGTGTACACACTTCCTCTAGAGGAACTAGACTGTGCACTGTAAGCATCCCACATGGGTGAGAGCTTATTGTATTAGACAAGGGGCAAAATCTTGGAGGCCCCAGAGTGAAAGAGTCCACGTTTATATCCAGAGAAACTCATTACTCTTCACTAGTCTTCCTGTCCTTGAACAAATAGAGGAAACGTGTTCTCTACGCTATTTCTTGTTCTCTTCTAGAGAAGGTGGTTGGGCTTTTTATATTTCCTCTTGAGAACTTGTGTTAAAATATTTGTGTTTTTTTCCTTTGTCTACAGCAAAGCCAGGACTCTATTTGAAAAAAATGCTGCCCCGATTTTACACTTATCTGGCATGGATGTGACTATCGTTAAGGTGAGAACTGCTCTAGAATGTTGATTTTATCCAAGCTACCCCTCCTTATAACATATCGTCTTCTCTTGACTTCTTAGCAAAAATCACTTATCACTTAGAAGATAAGAACAGAGAAGTCAACGTTGTGTTCTTCTTCTGATAATTAATAAGATAATATTGTTTTTTCCAACCACGGTCAGCTTTTCACTTTCAGAACAGGATTAAATGGGGCCATGAACTTGGCTCCTTTCATCTGACAGATAAGACGTGGAACTATTGTCTCTTGGAAGATGAAAGTTGTTACAGCTGTAAGAATTCTTTTTCTGACTATTAAAAAGAAATTTCAAGTTTGAGTAATTAATTTCTTGGTAGTTCTGCAGACAGGTAAACATTTTCTTTCTGGTGAGGAATTATTTCAGGTGAGGAATTTTAAGTGGTAAAGCTTTAGAATTTTCGAGATTTGGGTAAGAAGAAATGGGGACAAAAATAAATGAGAGGGAATTGTGCTATTTTAGAAGATGCCTCAAGACTCCACTTTCTTGACTTTAAGTGCTATGTGTGTGGTATGTACATAGGTGTGTGTACTTGGTGAAAGTCACTGTTACCATGTTTGTAAATCTATGGTATACCAATTTTTAATATTACACATTTTCATTAAATCATAGAGATTGAACGGTCATTTAGTCCAGTTGACCATGCAATGTTGATGAACTCTCCTCTCCAGCTTGTCCGAGGTGTGGTCTTCTAGTTGTCTGCCTGCAGGGATGGGAGAGTGGGGAAGAAAACTGACATTTATTTCAAGACCTGTAATGCATATTGCAGACTCTACGTATGAGAGATCTGAGAATGGTTATTTAAGACCGATATTTGTTTGTTCCTGGAGTGTTTGGTTGAACTCACAAGGAGAACCATCTGGGCCTGGAGCTTTCTTTGAAGGGAAATTTTTTTGTATATTAACTTTCTTTAATGGCTGTAGAAGTACATCAGGAAGTTCTGTTTCATCTTGAATTAATTTTAATAAGGTAAATTTTTTAAAGGATTTTGTGAATTTCATCTAAGTTTTCAAATTAATAGGCATCAAGTTGTTCATAATATCTTCTTTTTAACTTTTAAATTTCTGTGACATCTGAGATACATCATTTTCTTGCTCAGTATTGTTTTATTGTTTATTTTTCCTTTTTTTTTTTTTTTTTTTGCCTGCCAGTCATGTGAGAGATGCGTCAATTTAATTAATCCTTTTTGCCGAGAACCATTTCTTGGCTTGTTGATCCTTTCATTAACTTCTGGTCTGTCTTTATTGTTTCCTTCATTCTACTTTCTTTGGCTTTTTTTCTGCTGTTCTTTTTGACATTTTAACTTGGATGTTTATTTCATTAATTTTCACCCTTCTCTTCTGGTGTTTTCTTAGAAAGCTATAAACTTTACTGCTTCAGCTGCATCCTAGGAGTTTTGGTATATAATATTTTCATTATCATTCATTTCTAAATGTTTTCTAATTTTCATCATGATTTTTGTTTGACCTGTGAGTTATTTAGCATGTTTTAAAATTTTCAAATCTAAAGTTTTCCCACATCTTTTTGTTAATGGTTTTTGATTTAATTGTGTTATGGTCAAAGAATGTAGTCTATATAATTCCAGTATTTTAAGTTTATTGAGATTTGTTTTGTGGCCTAGCATGTGGTTTGTTTTCATAAATGTTTTATGTAGGCCTAAAAAGAATATATATCAGTTATTGGGTACCATGTTCTATATATGTCCATTCAGTCAAGTCTGTTAGTTGTGTGGCTCAAATCTTACATGTCCTTACTGATTTTTTTCTTCTGTTTGAACTATAGATTATTCAGAAAGAAGTGTTAGAAATATCGCACTAGATAGATTTGTCTGTTTCTCTATGTAGTTTTATCCACTTTTGCTTTTTTATATTTTGAGACTGTCAGTAGATGCATTCACATTTCAAATTATTTCATTTTTCTTGCATGTTGACACTGTCATAGAGTTACTCTCTTTAGCACTAATGCTGTCTTTTACTGTAGTCTATTTTATTTAGTATTGTTAGTAACCATACTAGCTTGCTTTGATTAGTTTTTACCTGGTATAATTTTTACTTATCTTTACTTAAGCCATTTTGTATCCTTATATTTTAATGCATCATTGGTAAAGGCATGAAAACAGGACATTTTAAAGATCCAATGCTTTTTGTGTGTGTGCCTTTTGACTGGACCATATAATCCATTAACATTTATTGTAATTGTTAATGTATTTAGATTTATTTCTATACCAGTTATCTATTGCTACATAACAAACCGCCTTGACAACAGTTTTTCTGCTTACAATTCTGTTGGTCAACAATCCATGTTCAGAGCTGTTCTTGTGTTGGTCTCACCTGGGCTCCTCAGTGGCTTGTCTTTTCATGACTTGACAGCTTATTTGTTTCCTCTTCTCACTGAATAATATTCCATCATGTAGATGTACAACAGTTTGTTTATCCATTTACCTATTGAAGGACAGCTTGATTGCTTCCAGTTTTGCAGTTATGAATAAAGCTGCCATAAACATTTGTGTGCATGTTTTTGTGTGGACATAATTTTTCAGCTCATTTGGGTAAATACCTAGGAGTGCAGTGGCTGTGTTACATGGTATGCTTAGCTTTGTAAGAAACTGGCAGACTGCTTTCCACAAGTGGCTGTACTGTTTTGCATTCCCACTAGCAATTAAGGAGATTTTCTGTTGCTCCACATCCTCATCAGTATTTGGTGTTCTCAGTGTTCAGGGTTTTAGCTGTTCTGATAGGTATACAGTAGTTTCTCATTGTCTCAATTTGCAGTTCCCTAATGACATATAACATTGAGCATTTTTTCATTGATTTATTTTCCATCTGTATATCTTCTTCAGTGAGGTGTCCAAATCTTTGCTATTTTAATTGAGTTGTTTCTTGTTTGTTCTCTTATTGTTGAGTTTTAGAGTTCTTTGAACACAAGTTCTTTATCAGATATGTGTTTCAAAAATATTTTCTCTTATACTGTCTTTTTTTTTTTTTTTTTTTTGCGGTACGCGGGCCTCTCACTGCTGTGGTCTCTCCCGTTGCGGAGCACAGGCTCTGGATGCGCAGGCTCAGCGGCCATGGCTCACGGGGCCAGCCGCTCCGCGTCACGTGGGATCTTCCTAGACCGGGGCACGAACCCGTGTCCCCTGCATTGGCAGGCGGACTCTCAACCACTGCGCCACCAGGGAAGCCCACTTATACTGTCTTTTAAAGCTGTGTTTGTTTTCGTTCTCTTAACAGTATTTTCACGGAGCAGAAGTTTTTAATTTTAAAGAAGTCCAGCTTATCAGTTTTTTTCTTTTGTGGCTCTTGCTTTTGGTGATTTATCTAAAAACTCATCAACAAACCCAGGATCACCTACATCCTGTACTGTGTGATTTTCTAGAAGCTTTATAGTTTTTTATTTGACATTTAGGTCTACGATCCATTTTCAGTTAATTTTTGTGAAAGGTATAAGGTTCACGTTTTCTGCATCATCAGGCCACTCTTTATCCTTTCTCTTTGTTGCATTTGGAATTTTCCTCTTAAGATCAGAGCCTCAAATGTGTCATCCCTATTAATGTAATCTTTTAAATTATGGTCTGTTAAGTCTGTCAATATCTTTTTGAATTTTGGTTCTTTCATTCATGTACTTATTCATATTTATCAATTTGTCTTGCAAATATTTGAGTACCTACTACAAAGTAAGCTCTGTTCTACCTGTTGAGGATACAGTCTGAACAAAACAAGTTTTCCCTCTCTGTCCTCAGAGCTTCCACTCAAAGTGTGAAAAGGAGGGATACAGATAAAACACATATACAAATAAACATATGATTTGTCAGATGGTGATGAGAGCCAAGAAGAAAAATCAAGCAGGGTAAGGAGACCAAGAGTAATGGCGGTGTTAGTTTAGTTCAGGAGGCCAAGGAAGGCCAGTCTGGTAAGATGACCTTTGGAAGAGACATGGGGGAAATGAGTGAGTCATGCTGGTAGGTTGGGGAAAGCATCCAGGCCGAACGTACTGCACATTCGGAGGCTCTGCGGAGGAGTGTACTTGGGGCTTGAGGAAGAGTGAGAGGCAAATGTAGTTGGAGGAGAATGAGCAAGGGGAGACAGGAGAAAGGATGAGGTTGAAGAAGTTAGGAGGGGCAAGATTGTCAGGTTTGTATCGTTTACGCATTCAGTCAATTACCTTTCCTCTCTGTTGTTGATAAAGTGTTGTGTAGGAAAAGGCTGAATGGAGAGCCCTAAAGAAATGTCACCAGGAATCTACCTACAATTTGGTGTCCCTCCACTGAGCATCTTACTTTGAACGTAGATATTCAATTGGTAATCAGTTCACCCAGTTGTATTCTAGTGTATTGTTCCCACCTATCTCCGCCTTGTCCCCAAGGATATTATCAAATAACTTGCCAGGTGCCTTGCTGAAGACCCAATAGAATGTCTGTCTGGATTTCCTGATCTTCTGATCTAGTAATCTGTCAAAGATGAGGATACTCTGAAATGCCTTGTTCTCGGTGAACCCATGCAGATTCCCAGTGATCACCTATTTCGGGGTGTTCACAAAGCATCCTTTTAATCAGGATCAACATATATTCTCTCTTTTTAAAAAAATATTTATTTATTTTTGGCTGCGTTGGGTCTTCATTGCTGTGTACGGGCTTTCTCTAGTTGAGGCGAGCGGGGGGCTACTCTCTGTTGTGGTGCACGGGCTTCTCTTGCTGCGGAGCACGGACTCTAGGCGTGCAGGCTTCAGTAGTTGTGGCATGTGGGCTCAGTAGTTGTGGCGCACGGGCTTAGTTGCTCCGCGGCCTGTGGGATCTTCCTGGACCAGGGCTCGAACCCGTGTCCCCTGCATTGGCAGGCAGATTCCTAACCACTGTGCCACCAGGGAAGTCCCTATATTCTTTTTTAAAAAAGTGAAATATTTGGATTGATTGAGCTCAGTCACCAGAGGGCAGTGATTTAATCAACCATGGGTATGTAATGAAACCGACACAAAAACTCAGAAGGACAGGGTTTGGAGAGCTTCTGGGCTGGTAAACCTGTGGAGATCTGGGGAGAGGTGGTGCGCCCAGAGAGGGCCTGGAGACTCCACACTGCTCCCCCACACACCTTGCCCCATGTACCTCTTCATTTGTCTGTTCATCTGAATCCTTTCTAATAAACTGATAACTGTGAGACAAAAAAAAAAAAAGAAATATTTACAAATGTATAACTGCAAAGCCAGTCATTTCATTTTTCAGGATAAAAGTAGAACCATTCATCATAAGCTTAGATGGTGTTAGTGTAGGACTTTGTTTTTCGTGTGTTGACTGTGACTTAGTGGCCCAGGTGCTTTAGCCCATCTGACATCCAAATCTTTAATTTTTGCCTATTAGTGTGTCTAGTAAAGTGTCAACAGGAGAGAGTGTTTCCTTATTTCAGCATTAGTTGCATTACATTTGTTAAAATTCAGGGTTTGGTTTTAGAGGTGATGGCTTAGATCATTCATTTAAGTCTACATATGTATCTGAAATGAGGTATCCTCAATACAAATGGTGAGGCTTACATACCATTTAGTCACCATTTTGTGACTGCTTTGAGCCATACCTATATTTCTTTATGTACAATCATAGCAAAACCACAGTAACCGTTTATGTAGTACAGTGCCAGTTAAGAACAGTTACCTTGCTAGTCGCTTTTCATACTGCTTTCCAACAGTATTAGGAAGAAGCGCTTTTCCCTTCCTCCAGTACACATGATTTCATTGATAAGGAAATTAAGATCCTGAGAGTTTAAGGCCACTCAGCTGAAAAGTAGCAGAGTTGGGATTTAATCTGGGTCTCCTGGGCTCTCAAATCTGTGCTCTTTTTATTACATCTGTTTCTCCTTATTTGCACATACACTTGACTTTCTGCTTGCAGATGAAAGTCACTGGGTAAATGATGTAATAATAGAACGTGCACTGGACTAGAAATGATTCCTCTGACTAGCTGACTGTATAACTGAGACAAATCACTAGGTTTGAGTTTTATTTTTAAAGTAAGGAGCCGCCTAGATGGTTTCTGAGGTCCCTTCCAGCTCTAAAAATATAAAACTATAAAAACCATACATAGTTGCTTTGATAGCTGTTTAGTTTCTCATGTATATCAATTATGTAGAATTTAAGAAAAGGTTCAGTGTAAAACTTTAAAGAAAATATCCCATATTTTTAGACCTTTGGGCCTGTGGCTCTAGGATGATAAATTTACCAAAGGCTTCCTTTGTATTGCAGACAGATTATGAGGGCCAAGCCAAGAAGCTCCTGGAACTGCTGGAAAACACAGATGTGATCATTGTTGCTGGAGGAGATGGGACTTTGCAGGAGGTGTGGCCGCTCTTCTCTTTGAAACCATTTTGAAAGGGAGGAAAATAGAAATTAGGTCTTGGAGCAGTGGTGTAAAGTGGTTATAATTTAAGGAAATTATTTCTTTGTAATCCATTCTTTTTAGGATTGTTTCTCTCTGAAACAAGTATAGCATTACATTTTTCTCATGCACTTTTATTTCATTGCTTCGTATAAATTCTATACCCAGCACATAGAAGGGTTTTTGTTTTATCAGATTTAAGTCGGATAAAATGGGATAAAACAGGATACAAAATGGTGCTGGGTGTGAAATGCTTTTTATATTTTGAAGACTCTTATGAAGTAGCCCCGTTTGTTAGGGAATCACTGTTTCAATTATGGGAAGGTTTCTTATAAAATAAACAAATAACAATTGCCTTTTAAAAAAATGCATCTGTCCATTCTCACTTCATTTCCATCCCATGTAATGTTATCTCCTAATGGTACATTTAGAGGCAGAGGTCTACATGTTCCGATGTATGCGTTGCTTTTGTTCTGCAATTCCATTTCCTTAATGCTTGCTTTGGTCCAATAAGGACAGTAAGTATATTGCCCTGGATATGCTCTTCTTTACCAGGGCAATAGACTAGAACCTACATTATGTATTGGAAACCCCTAAAGGGCCCAGTGCAGGTGCCCCTCCCACTCAGTCACCCCATCCTGTGTACCATAAGTCACATCCATACCTCGTTTCTCATTATCTTTTGCCTCTATTTTGGTGGTTTCATTGGTGTTCAGGGACCAGGAGCTATAACAGCGGACAGGGCACTGTCCTGTGTTTGAGTTAGCAATCATGTAAGCCTTAGTAAACTTCTTTTAAAAAGCCTGTGCTAATGATCTTGTAATTGTGTTTATGGATTTTTAATGAAGTGTGAAGAATACGGATAGCATGCCAACAAAGTAATGAAGTGGAACTCACGACAGCCCCATTTAATCCCGAAACTCAGTGAGGCGGGAGATGCGGGAGAAGATTGGCTTTTGCCTTGACTTCACAAAATGTTTTTAAGAAAGAAACCAAATTGTGTATCTGGTCTAATCTAGTCATCAAGATATGCCCTGGTTAAAAAAAAGAATTGGAGGGAAATATAGCAAAATATAAACAAGTGACTAATGATGCCTGGTGGGTTTATGAGGAAGTATTTTTTCTTCAGGTATTTTTCACAGTTTTTACAAGACCATGGGTATTATAGTTTAAAAATAAAAAATAAATTAAGTAAAAATTCAAGTTAAAAATGTCTTTTTATAGAGGGAATACAGTCTCCCTTGTCTTCATATTCATCAGTAAGAAACATTTATTGAGAGCAGGCTTCTCTCTGAGTGTAGCAAAGTGCTGTTTTTTTCCCAATATGTGTACTTCATAGTAGGAAACTAGTATCTTTAGTATAATTGATGTGTACATCACATTTATACCCATCTTATAGAAATCAAAACGTAATTTTACTAATATAATGTGGAAGTTTTATAATTATTTTATCTTAGCCTTTATAGTACTATTGTTCCTAGGTGGAGAATAAAATCTAATCTAGCTCTGATCTTACTGGAGAATAGTTTGTGCTTTAAGAGCCAATACATCTTTTGACATAGTTTCTAGGAAGAAAACAGGAACAAGTTTGTGGTCCATGAAAATTGAATCCAATTCTTTTATGATAAAGGAAATACAAGTTGTTCATAATAATTTTTTTAAAACATTTGTAGGTTGTAACTGGAGTTCTTCGAAGAGCAGATGAGGTGAGCTTTAAAATAAGAATCATTGCATTTTGACTTTTACTTTCCTGTTTTAATCTCTCTTTATTTCTTTCTTTTACCCTTTCTCCCCTTTTTATATTTTAAGATGGGCGCAAGTTGTGCTTCCTCAGACTTTAGAAAATAAAGTACTTCTGCCTATGTCATAGAACACTTTTATTAACTCATGGTGGACTTTTCTGCTTTGGGGATCCAGGGTATCCAATGGCTTTTACCAAGAGTTGTTTAAAATATAAAATTTCCCCATAGAATCTTTTCTTCAAAGGATTCCTTCATTAATAAATTGTGGTATATTCATATATTGGGAGCCATACAACAGTTAAAATGAATGAACTAGGTTTATAAATATCTACGTGGTAAATCTAAAAAATATTCAATAAAAAAAGGCAGGTTGCCAAAGTATTTTATGCATTTCTATAAATTTTTAAAATTCAGAAAACAAAGGTACTCTTAATAGATGCCTAAACTATGTAGTAAAAGGGTAACAATGTGAATGGAAAGGAATCACACCCACCTCACGATAAAGGCTTCCTCTGGGAAGGGAAAGGGGAGTAGGATGAGAAGGGACTTGAGTTGTATCTGCATCACTTTATTTCTTAAAACTCTGAAGCAAATATGGCAAAATGTAATATTTGTTAAATCTGGGTCTTGGGTACATGGGTATTCGTGAGATTACTTTAAATTATTATGGAAAAATGTGATAAAATATTTTATAAGTAACAACAAGAAAGAAGATCCTTCCCAGTCCCTTTAGTAATAGTAGACTGAGCTCAAGATAATCTTTAGGAACCTTGCGGTATCTGTTTATTTGTGGCCTTTAATTAAGTCCTCTACTGTGCCATTCTTCTGCTACTTGACCTTGCTTATTCTCTTAGCCTTGTTTATACTTGAGGTAGTTTATAAGGCACTTTCACCTGTCCTCAGTCACTGTACAAATGTTAGACATTTTTAGTTGAATTCTATCTGCAACTTTGTCAAATAGTGTGGCAACATAATACAGTCTGTCACAATCATGCATTTATCTAATATCTAAGACCCTCATTTTCTTAACCAAATTTCTTTCAACCAGTTGCCATTAGTGAGCACCCAAATATTCCTTCCAAATTTGAAGGTATGTTGTTTTCATGAACTGCCTTGTTCTAGAACCTGCTTCCTCAGTATTACCTGGTTGCTTGTCTAGGGGTGTGGAAAGGAAGGCTGGGAGGCAGGCCCAGGGTCAGTTACTTTGTCATAGTGGACACACCTGTGCCTCTCTGTTCAACCTCATTTTCTGACCATAACAATAAAACTTTGCTCTTGTTTTCTTCCTCGCCAGGCTACCTTCAGTAAGATTCCCATTGGATTTATCCCACTGGGCCAGACCAGTAGTTTGAGTCAGACACTCTTTGCCGAAAGTGGAAACAAAGTCCAGTAGGTTGTCAATGTGGGATGGTAGCATTTGTGGGTAAGCGAGCCTGGGAATGGAGAATTCACACGTGTGATATAATTTTCTTTTTGAGTTTTGATAGCCTGAAACTTCAGATCATTAAGAGGAAGAGATCAGAGTTCAAGCGTTGGGTTGATTGGGAAGTTTCTCTGTTGGGTTGCGGGACCCTGGTGATCTCATGTTAAGTCCTCAGGTCAGGTATGGAGATGAATACTGATGTCCTTCTGACACTTATGAAGGTAGCTTCGCTGATCCAAGCATACTGTTTGTGTGCTTTTGTGTTGTAAGATTCTCTGGTGAAGACATACTTGCAGTGATCATTTGTTTGCTTTAAGTGTGTATGATGACAAATAGCAAGTTCCCTGCGGAGACTGGGCCAGCAGCAGCCTTGGCTCCATTACCTTGATAATATAAGTAGCTAAAACAACCAAATATAGTTACGTCCTTTAGGGAATGCCAAAAGTGGAAGGCAGTGTGGATAAAGTAGACAGAGGAAGTAGTGCAACCCTGACATTAAATTAAATTGTTGTGAGTCTAATAGTGTCCTCAGGAGTCAGGCAAGTTGCTATTATTGCTCTTTTCTTTCAAAAGCATTATGTAAACAAAGATTTAGTCTTTCAGGAAGATGGGAATCTTGAATTTGAGTCATGGCTTTGATAATGATTAAAAATATAATCTTGGACAAATCATTTTCAGGCAGGTTCTCATTGTCAGTTGCCTGATCTTTAATGTAAGCTTTGTGATACATTGGGGGAGGTCAATAAAAAATATTTGTTGAATGAATGAATTGAAATCTTCTCAAGACATTTCTTGTTATACCCTTCTAGAATCAATAACAATAATAATACTCAGGTGATTTTCTGTTTTGGATTTTTTTTCTGCTTTGGGATTTTTATTTTAGATTGAGGTATAGTTGACATAAAACATATTAGTTTCAGGTGTATAACACAATGATTTGATATTTATATGCCACCACAATAATTATAGTTAACATCTGTCACCATTCAATAGTTACACAATAGTTTTTCCTTGTGATGAGAACTTTTAAGATATACTCTGTTAAAAACTTTCAGACATGTAATACAGTATTATTAACGTTAGTTGCCATGCTATACGTCCCATCCCTATGACTGACTTATTTTTTTATAAATTTATTTATTTATTTATTTATTTTTGGCTGTGTTGGGTCTTTGTTTCGATGACTGACTTATTTTATAACTTGACTCCCTTCGCCCTTTTTACCAACCTCCCACACCCTACCTCTGACAACCATCAATCTGTTCTCTGTATCATCTATGAACTTGATTTTTTAAATTTTTAATTTAATTTAATTTATTTTTTGGCTGCATTGGGTCTTCGTTGCTGCATGCAGGCTTTCTCTAGTTGCTGCGATGGGGGGCTACTCTTCCTAGCGGTGCACGGGCTTCTCGTTACAGTGGCTTTTTGTTGTGGAGCACGGGCTCTAGCGCACAGGTTTCAGTATTTGTGGCGTGTGGGCTTCAGTAGTTGTGGCTCGCGAGCTCTAGAGTGCAGGCTTCAGTAGTTGTGGCGCACTGGCTTCAGTAGTTGTGGCTCGCAGGCTCTAGAGCGCAGGCTCAGCAGTTGTGGCGCACGGGCTTAGTCGCTCCGTGGCATATGGGATCTTCTCGGACCAGGGCTCGAACCCGTGTCCCCTGCATTGGCAGGCGGATTCTCAACCACTGCGCCACCAGGGAAGTCCCTTGTTTTGTTTTGTTTTTTTAAAGATGCCACCACATATAAGATATCATACAGTATTTGTCTTTCTTTGTCTGACTTAACTTCACTTAGTATAATACCCTCCAAGTCCATCAGTGTTGTTGCAGATGGCAAAATTTCATTCTTTTTTATTGCTGAATAGTATTCCAGTGTATATGTGTGTGTGCACACAAACGTATATATATATATATATATATATATGTATCTCACATATATATCACATCTTCTTTATTCATTCATCTGTCAATGGACACTTAGCTTGTTTCCATATCTTAGCTACTGTAAATAATGCTGAACAACAAACATGGGTGCATATATCTTTTGAGTTAGTGTTTTCGCTTTCTTCGGATAAATACCCAGAAGTGGAATTGCTGGATCATATGGTAGTTCCATTTTTAATTCTTTGAGGAACCTCCATACTGTTTTCCATAGTGGCTGCACCAATTTACATTCCCAGCAACAGTGCAGGAGGGTTCCCTTTTCTCCACATCCTCTACAATACTTGTTATTTCTTATCTTTTTGATAATAGCCATTCTAACAGGTGTGAGGTGATGTCTCATTGTGTTTGGATTTGCATTTCCCTGGTTGTTAATGATGCTGGGCATCTTTTCATGTACCTGTTGGACATCTGTATGTCTTCTCTGGAAAAATGTCGATTCCAATTATCTACCCAGTTTTCAAGTGGATTTTTTTTTCTGTTGAGTTGTATGAGATCTTTATATATTTTGTATATTAACCACTTACCAGATATATGACTTGCAGATATTTTCTCCCATTCAATAGGTTGCCTTTTCATTTCATTGATGGTTTTCTTTGCTGCACAGAAGGTTTTTAGTATCATGTAGCCCCACTTACTTATTTTTACCTTTATTGCTTTTGCTTTTGGTGTTAGATTCAAAAATCATTGCCGGGCTTCCCTGGTGGCGCAGTGGTTGAGAGTCCTCCTGCTGATGCGGGGGACACGGGTTCGTGCCCTGGTCTGGGAGGATCCCACATGCCGCGGAGCAGCTGGGCCCGTGAGCCATGGCTGCTGGGCCTGCGCGTCCAGAGGCCGCAGCAGTGAGAGGCCCGCATACCGCAAAAAAAAAAAAAAAAAAAAAAAAAAAATCATTGCCAAGTCTTATGTCAAGAAGCTTACCTTCTATGTTTTCCTCTAGAAGTTTTGTGGTTTCAGGTCTTATTACATTCAATTCTTTAATCCATTTTGAGCTAATCTTTGTGTATGGTGTAAGCTAGTGGTCTAGTTTCATTCTTTTGCATGTGGCTGTCCAGGTCTGCTTTGGGATTTTGAATAGGCTGGTTTTGTGGATTTGTTTTTGCTGTTGTAGTTTTAGGAGTCATCTTTTATCTTTTAACTTTTTTTTTTTAGATAAAAACCTTGCTCCATATATCAAACACCAGGCATAAGCATAGACATATATCAGGCCTTTATTAAAACGTCTCTCATGCTTCAAGCCTTAGTCTGATGGGGAGGGTTCAGCTCTTTACCAATCATCCTGCAGCCTAATGTGGCATTTCAGTTTGCCATATTTTTTTCCCAGTTTAGAATTTCTGAGGGGCTATAAATATGACAAACAATGAATCAAACATTTTTTCTTATCTGAGACCAATCCTATCTGGTTTGGGTCTTGGTTACTTTAGATAGCTAGTCTTTCCCCCTGTCAGTATAGATTATTAGAACTGCTTGCCAGCATTACCAGATATGCCAGTGATGCGGAGGTAGGACATGTCCCTTAGAGAACACCTCACCTATCCAAAAGCCAGTGTCTGTGCAGTGTGGCTGCCCTCAAGGTCTTAAATAGCCTTCAGTTTTTTAGGAGCTGATTTTCCCTGTAGTTAAACTAATGTTGTTGCTGCTTCTATTTATAATTTAAAGATTTATAAGACTTAATTTATAAGCATGCCCCAGGGCTCTTAGATAATTAAGTCAGTCTGCCCTGGGTTCATAATTTTGTAGACCTCTTAACATGGCAGATGCCTGAGGCTACCTAAAAGAACAAGGCTTTGCTTTTTGCATTGCTGTCGAGATTTGTTGTACCATAATTACTACAGAAGAAAAAGGAATTTTGAATTTGGAATGTTGCAGATAAATAATCCTAAAAAATAGCTGTTTCGTGCTACAGTGCTGCTTTATTTAGAACTTTCAATTATTGCTGGAGAATGATAAATTTAAGGTTGCATTTTAACCATCTTCTGCCAAGGAATTTTGAAAAAAAATTAATAGAAAAAGGCATTTTTCAGTTGGAACATTTTTTAAAGGTCAGCCTCTCAAAAGCACTTCTTAAACCTCTTAATGTGCTAGGTACTACTCAGAGCGAGCACACAGCTTTAGGATTCTTTCTAATAACTTCCTTTGAAATTAATGTATTTATATCAAATTAATCTAAACTGGTGAACATGTGTCTTGCTTTCTCCTAAATTGAATCTCATTTTCTAAACTGCTACCTACTTCCCAGATAGCAACAGTATTGGAGGGAAAATGGGATAAAGATATGTTGATAGAGAAATATGAGAAAGTAAAGTAGGCTGTTTCTTAAGTTTCCACTTGCTTCCTAGGGAACCCAGAATGTAATCCAAGCATTGGAGTTAATGTGTATATTTTGGGGATTTATTATATTTTGCTAAGATAACTCCAGCAAATCCTGTCCTTTAGCTATCCTTCAGATTATTAGAGTAAAAAGGAATATGGTTTTTGAAGTACTTGACTTTCATTCTCTTACAGTGAATGAAAGATGTATTATTATTTATTTATCATATTTTCCAGTGATAAAAGTCAGACACAATGTAGAGACTCAATAAATGTGAGGTAAATAAATGATTGGTGCCTTGTATAAACTTCTCTTTGCCAAAGCCTTCTCTTTAAGTCTGTATCAGAGCCTTCCACTAGATTTGTATCAGTAATTATTTTATACACCTTTGTTCTGCTTTCTTGGAGTATTTTGAAAGAATTTGTCTTTTTCTTGACCCAGCTGTTAGTTCTCTGGGTAGGAGTGTGGTTGTGTGTGTGTGTGTGTGTGTGTGTGTGTGTGTGTGTGTGTGTGTGTGTGTGTGTTGGGGGAGATGTTGCTTATTTTTCACAACATGATCATTTCCTTCTTGTTATCTTTTAGACATATTACAGATGCTACACTTGCCATTGTGAAAGGAGAGACAGTTCCACTTGATGTCTTGCAGATCAAGGTAAGATCTTTTCATCAGAGTTTGAAAAAATTAACAAAGTAATACACACTTTAAAAAACATGTAGTAGTTCAAATAAGATTGTAAGGAAAACAACTGTTCTTCTTCTTACCTTTTCCTATGTGAAGTATAACCCCCCAGAGAAGATAGTTTTACCTGTTTGTTCTAGTTATCACTAATTAGTATGCCCGTGATGCTACTTTTAAAAACTGTGGTAAAAAAAAAAAAAACCCACAAAACATGAAATTTACGATCAGAACCATTTTTAGGTGTATAATTCAGTTTAAGTATATTATACTACTTTTTGGTTTATCAGTTTTAGACCTTCTCTCTTGGCCTCTTATCAGAAGTCCTCTGTATCACCTCTCAGTATAGTTGTATCATGATTTTTAGTTCCTCTGATTACCTTTGGCCCACAAGTAATTTTTCTGTTTTATAGTTGTTTTGAGTATTAAAAGAACTAATAAATATAACGCACTTAGGACAGCACCCGATTTCATCTCACCTGTTTGCATGGTGGCCACCTCTCTATCTCATGCCCTGCCAAAGGTTCTGCCTTTCTCGTGACCCATCTGTCTTTTTGAGGGCCTTCTCTTTGGGATTCAGGTTACTTGGTTGTCTTGCATTGTCAGCTCTCTGATGGGCTTGAGAATAATTATGATTCTGTAGATTATCAGGCTTTTCCTCATTTTTAGGGTGGGAACAATGTTCTTTGTTGCTTCCTACATCCTAGAGAGGAGCAGAACTTCCCATTTTTCTATTGGGTTGTCTAACATTTTCTTACTGATTTGTAGATGAGCTCATGAATTACTCTAGAAAGACATTCGCTCGCTTTGCCCACTGAAGGGGCCTAAAGGCAGTGACACCCAACAACAACGAGCATATCTGGCATCCAGATTTTGGTCTCTAAGTACCATTCCCTAATAAAACTTCACAGGATTCTGTGAAAAGATGTCCTTCAGAGGCAGGGCAAGAATAAGGCAAAGAACTACTCAAAAACTGATGAAGACAACGCAAAATAGGAGGCAGCCTGATGGTACCCTATTGGCCAATTTTGGGCTGGTTTGAACATCAAAAAGAATAATGCTAGTGGATTATAATACATTAAATAAGAATGATGAATCTATAGTTATGTTACAGAAGAATTGCCAAATCGTAAATGTATAAGATACGACAGAGTTAGAGAATTACCATTGGGCAATCACTAATGAAGTCACTAATTCAAACAGGGATCATCAATGCATGCTACACACATTGGATAAAAGGTCGTTGACAAACAAATATCCACACAGTCTCAAATGATCGCAAGTTACTTAATTACAAAGGGAAAAAGTACCTTTATAGTAGAGAGATCTAGCATACACCACCTTAACCAGGTGATCAAACAGCATCACCAATCATGGGACAGATGGACATTATCTGCCTCCGGATGTGATGTATTGAGAAGGGTACAACATCACCTACGTAGTTTTCTGCCCCAAACATTAGTCTTAATCTAACTGACTCTAATAATGAGAAAACAATCAAATCCAAATTGTAGGACATTCTAAAAACAACCATTGATTTGGCTTCTTCAAAAATGTCAGTGTCACGAAATCTAAAAGAAGATAGTCTGTTCAAGATTAAGGGAAACTAAAGAAATATCATAATGAAGTCCAGTACGAGATCCTGGACTGGAAAAATGAAAAACAGTGTCAGCCGTAAAAGATATCAGAGATATTTTAATATGGATGATATATTAGATGTTATATGCCAGTGTGAGATTTCTTGAGAGTGACAGTGGTGTTGTGGTTATGTCCGTGTATGTCCTTGTTCTTGGGAGATACATGCTGAAATAGTTAGGAGTGAAAGGTCATGAAGCCTGCAATTTATTTGCAAATGATTTAACAATACTACAAACTATACACAGAGAGATAAAGCTAATGTGGGGAAATGTTGGCCTGGTGAAGCTGGGTGAGGGGTAAATATGGTGTTCATTGCACGTATAAAAGGTTTTTTGGTTTGACATCTTACCAATATTAAAATTTTGGAGGGAAGAAGACCCAATAGCCATTCCTGATTCCTGATCAGAATCTTCTCTCTAAAAAGGGTTTAATTCCTAGGGAAAAGATATTCTCGCTTGATGGTAGTTAAGTATCTATTCCTCCTTCATCTAAATTTCTTCTTTTTCCCCCTGGAAAAGGCAGGTTCGTAAGAAGGCTGAGCCATAAAGCCAAATAATCCTATAAACAGCGAATCCTGCATACTTTTCTCAGGTTTAGCCTCAGAATGTACCAGCTGCATTCAGGCTGTCCTCCAAAGGCTATGCACATTTTACATGCATGCAAGTTTCCTAGTATCTGTGGAAGAAGCCTCCGTACCGTGTCATGATTCCAAACTTCAATCCTAAAATGTCGTTCCTAGTTATATGGCATTTGCTATATGCACGTTTACGGTTGATGAACCCGTGAGCTTGCAACCCATTTCCCTTTTATTTTCCTTTGTGCTTTATGCAGTGATATCTGGACTCTCCACCATGACCTTGTTGGTCAGGGTAAAAGCGATTTAAGTTGCAGTTGATTCTTTAGCATCTAATAAAGCTTAATCGTTTTCACAAAATGTGCTGAAAGGAATGTTAACCTAGAGAAGAGACTACAGATCAGCATTATTTTATTGTTGCTGTCAAAGGAGTGAATCAGGGTAGGTCTCTTAATGACGGAGTGATTTACTGCTTCTTATTTATGTGTGAGAAGTAATACATTCTAGAGTAATGAGGATTTAACTGAACATTCTTGACTGTGCTTGCATTTAAATGTCTCTTGTCTCCTTTATCTTTTTCTTTCAAATATACTGATTCTGTGAATTGATGAAACCAGTGTCAGAGTTAACACAGGCTCTGTATATTGGTAACACACCCCAGGAAGCAGAAACCTTTTAAAATCAATTCCTAGAAAACACAGTACGGTAGCCTCTACGGTAGTTTCTGAGGCACCCAGCTAGGCTGAATTTGTCTTCTCTTTTTTCTTTATTTCTGGAAATTGCTTTCAGAATGTGGTGAAAAGCATTGCAGATGAAGCCTGATACCAGATTCCTCTTCTTTTAAAAAACAAACTGAAACACAATTAAACATATAATGGAAGATTCTCCAAAAATAAAAGAAATAGTCCTTGGAATCTATAATAGTGCTTTATGTTTTCATTGTATAGTGTGAGTTCGCTTCTCCTTAGGACTTCTGACTCAGTGAGGGAGGCAAGATGTGTATTAGTATCTTCATTGGACAGATTTTTTAAAAAGGGTTATCTGATCATATGACTAGTTGTGCTGTAGACAGAAGAAGAATAAGGATTTTCTGTCTTACAGTCCATTGCTTTTTCCTTCACTGCTTTGTCTAGGTGGGATCACTCTTGGCCTGTCACATGATTTTTAAAGGGCAGTTTTCCCATGTGGACATCTACAATGCCCGGAAGTTGACTTTAAAGTAACTACTGTAAAGATTTATGGAATTCTTCCTAGTTCTTTCTTTTTGGTCTCTCAGTTCGACTCGGACCCTGCCAACCCAGAACCAAATGAGAAAGATAGGGGAGGTGGTGAGAGTGAGACTCTCCCCCTTTCCCCTGTCTTTCATTCCTGGATTCCTTCTGTTAAAGCCCCAGTGGGCTCTGATCATTCTCATACGACGATGCTTAGAGCTGCTCCTGAGCTCCTTCTGCCTTGACTCTTTTTCTTCATCTAGAATCCCTAAAATCCATAGGTCGGGCAGTTGTCTAGTTGACCAGGATCGTTTTCTCGTCACTGTTCCTTAAATTCTGTTGCACCCAGCTCTCCCAGTTGTTTTCCTCTGCAGAGCATGAGGTCATTTCCCCGCAGGGATTTGCTCTGTCCAGGGGAGCCTCTGACTTGGAGCAGCTTGTCTCCTTTGCTGCTAAGGTCTGGCTGCATGCCTGTCTTTCTGTACAGTATCTGTTCTTGTTTTCTCATCTCTCCATCTCATAATCTGACTATTGCCCAGAACTTCACTGGCCTAAGATACAGTGGTGCTTTGTCTGTTGGCTTCCACTCTGTTCAGCTGACCTTGCTTATTTTTCCTGTGCTTGTGTGTCCTCCAACTGGGACCAGTGTCTCCACTACTGGCCTCTGCTGAATCCTGAGGGCTCTGTGCCCATCTGCTTTTCTACACTCTTCACATTCTTCACACTCCTTTCCTACCCCTTGCTGGAACATAGCAACTCAATTCTGTGGAACCTTAAGGTTGCAAGGCTTTTCAGTTAATCTTAACAGAAGAGTCCCAAAATTCTTCCCCCTACATGAAGAAAGGGAAAATGGTTTTAGAGCACCAGTCAGGAAATCTTGAGTACTTAGCTCAGCACTTCTCGCTTCCACTACATGCTTTAGAACAGCATTTCCCTAAGGAATATTACTTATGCAAGATGTCTTCCCAGAGAAGGGCTGAACAGTTAACAACTCAGGAAAGCTGTATATTGTATTTCTTCTTTTGGACATTTATAATGTACATTAACATATTAAAGACTCTAAAAAGAATTGCAGTAAACATAACTTCTTTCAAACCAAATAAGTTTGATATTTCCCAACTTATTTCAACATGGAATCTTCTATCATCATCATCATATCATCATCATCATCAGCTGTAACACTTAACATCTTAAGAAACATTTGGGAAATGTTCCCATTGATACAGCAAACTATTCACATAGTGTTAATTCTCTCCCTTAGGTTAGAGCGCCCTTTCTCCTCGTTTCTTTTCTTTCTCTCTACTTTCTTCCCACCCTCCCCAATCTAGGTGCTTTATTTAGTTTTCCTTTTTGGGAAAGGACTGGGGAAATCACTGTAGTATGCACTTATTACTGTAATATAGTGTCCTTCCTCAAGGGACCTGATTTCTCTCTCTCTTTTTTTCTAATTAGCATGCATCTTCCCTAGTCCAGTACTGTATGATTCAGCCTTGTTCCTTCTCTTTCAATACTATATAGTGCTTAGCTCACTCTTGGGAACCTCCTAGGTAGAT